CCAGTGCTGGCCGCAGCTGCTCTCTGAATTCGAGTGGCTGTCCAGGGGCAGCACGCCCTTTCCAGGCGGCAGGGGGTAGTGGGCCCTGTGCCCCCCACCCACTGTCTTTCCCGGGCTGGGTCAGCCTGACCCCGCTCTCGAGGCTCTTTGGTCTGTCTGTCACTCCTGCCCCACTGCTTCCTGCCCTTTCTTTCTTCCCCTTTCAGAAGACTGCAAAGGCGCCGAGGTAGGAGGTAGCAGGCCAGCTGAAATATAATCAGAATAATTAAATAGCACTTTATTTTAAATCGTTCCTCTCCCAGAGCAGGAAAATAATTGGCCAGCCTGTCACGAGAGAAGCAGGAGACCTGGGGCTCCCGCCGTTGCCGAGCTTGGTTCACCATGCCCTTGGCAGCAGGGGCTTCGGCTGTGCCTGCCCCCTTACCCCCCTCGCCTGTCCCGGCCAGGTCCTGTCCCAGCATTCACCTCCTGCTTCACCCACCATCCCACCCTCAGTGTCCGCCCCGCCACCCGCACAGCGGCTGTCCTGTTACGCTCAGGGGAGGGTTGTAGGCCCCTGCGGAACAGGATATATCCAGACAGGCTGCCTAGCGGAGGCAGCAGAGCTTTAATAGCAAAAAATGCCTCCATGTGTGGTGAGAATGGCCTGCCGAGGCCAAGCCTGGGGTCTGGGGCCCTGCCAGGCCCGGCCTCTGCTAGACCTGCCCCTGCCTGCTCTGAGCAGGTGCCTTTCCCCTGCCCCCTCGCCCCTCTACTGGGTCCAGCCGCCCACACCCATCCGTGCCCTCTGAGGGCAAACCTGCAGTGTTACCTGTCTCTGGTTTTTCGATTTGTTTAATTATAGATGAGTTTTCTGCATAATTTATTCCAAAAGCCTGGATTATACTATACAATTAAATCACATTCTGATCATCGACTTCACATATAAAATTAACAACTGGCAACAGTTTAATCTGTGCTGCTGCATCCGCACATGGTCTGTCTCTCTCTCCCCTCCATCCTCTCCTCGCCCGTCTCCCCCTTGCCCACCCCCTCCCGTGAGCACTTGAAGCTGGCTGCCCCCACCTGAGTGCTCCGCAGTTTCACGAAGGCTCTGCCTGCCTTGGAGCTGGGGTCTCGGTGGTTCTGTCACTAGGGTCCTCCACCTCAGCAACTTGCCCGCTTGCCTGTCCCGGCCAGGTCCTGTCCTAGCATCTACCTCCTGCGTCACCCACCATCCCACCCTCGGTGTCCACCCCGCCACCCGCACAGCGGCTGCACACTCGTCCAGTGTGCTCGAGTGTCTGCCCCTTACAGCTATTTAGGCAGTCACCATTAACCCTGCTGACCCATGGGAAGGCTGAGGTTCGGAGATCGCACAGCTGGCGGAGGTGGCCTCTCCCCAGAGGTTCCCGCAGGCTACACTGTCCTGGAAGGGTGTGCTTCTGGGCCTGAGGGAGCCAGGGAGGTGGGTCTGGCTTTCCTCTAAGTGCAGGACCTGCCCCACCCTTGCCGGCTCCAGGCTCCCGTCTGTGAGGAGGGCTGCTGTGCCTTCCCCACCCTCAGTTTGGGCACGTTGGAGGCCTTGTCTGGGTGCACCAGTGCACGTGGATCGGGAAGTGCAGTCTCGGGCCAGACACTCTCCCCTCACTGTCTTGCTAATTTGGCACTTAAAAGCACCTAGAGATAAGCAGTGTCATCTCAGCAAAGAGCTGGAAAGTCACAAGGCTGTGGGGAGCGAGCAGGTAGACGGCCCTGCGGAGTGAGCCGTGGGCAGCACTGTCTGGCTAGGAGGCATTGCCACAGCCAGGAACTTGGGCCCAACTCAGTAGGAGCCTGAGCGGGATTTGGTCAGTTTGGCTTTGGCTCAGTGGGGCCGGGACTCCTGATGCATAGCTCTCCCTCAGAGCCCCGGGCCTTTCTGCGGGAGTGAGCCTGCTTATGCCTGACTAGGTTGGCCTTAGCCTGCTAGGTGCCTTCTGCAGTCTCAAGTCAGGAACACGGTGGAGATGTAGTCACCCCCTGGCTCCCTCAGTGCCCATGTGTCGCTTGCTAGAGCCAGCCCTGGGACACTGGCCAAACCCTGGAACCCGCAAAATCATATTTCTGTGGCAATGAAATCAATTTTCCAATTCTCGGTCGTGTTCCTTTTAACTCTGAGATACACATATTGCCTTCCTAGTTGGGTTTGATTTAGGCAAAGAATCAGAGTAACTTGTTTTCCCTGGCATTGTGCTGATGGGCAGTGTGCCAGGGCCTGGGGGCTGCCTCAGTCCCAGGGTGCCAGACTTAGGGCCAGAGCCACCCTTAGAGCCTGGGATAATGCATGTGTCACATTGAGCCGGTCATTACATCCCACAGCAGAGTCCAGAGTGACTCAGCCTTGTTGAGAGGGCAGAGACTGTGTGTGTGTGTGTGTGTGTGTGTGTGTGTGTGAGAGAGAGAGAGAGAGAGAGAGAGACAGAGACAGAGAGACAGAGAGAGACACAGAGACACAGACAGAGACAATGTATGTCTAGAGGAAGAACTTGACTTGATCCTCAGAGTTGGTTCTCCTGAAAATTGTTTTAGTGTTGAAGCAGCCTTTTTACATGAAGTGATGGTGATTATATTAATAATGTGTTGTCTGTACAAAATAAAAACTTGGCATCTATGTCCGTTCTCCCTATTAATTTCCTTGTACCTATCTGTGAAATCCCAGGAATGGAGACCTATAGGCATATAGAAGAGTTCACGGCCTGGAGTAGAACTGGTATTCTGGTAAACGTTGCCAGTCTGCTCTCCAGGGAGAAAACCTGTGATTTTTAGCATTTACTGATTTTGGAGGTGTAAATGTTCCCACCATGATGAGCTTTATACCCCCAAGGTGGCAGCGCTAAATGCCAAGTTGGGAAGGAGTACCCGGGTCAGCCCTTGTGTGTCAGCCTTGTGACCCTGGCACACCTCTGAGACAAATCCTGTCTATCTTTTCCTGGTCAGGCGACCTTGGGCAGGTCCGTTAAAACCTCTGTGCCTCAGTTTCCTCCCCTGTAAGTTGGGATGGTGATGGTTGCTATCTTTGTGAGAGCTGACGTAAAAGAACACGCAGTGTTCTGGCGCTGTGCTTTGTACACAACGGACAGCCTTGTGCATTTCAGCCTAGCGAGGATTGTGATTAACTTTCTGTCCTCTGGACTGGTGAATGGCTGAGGGCAGGGGCAGGGGCCGGCAGAGTGAATGGTTCCCTGTGGAGATCAGACCCTTGACCTTGCTCGTTTGTCTGCCACCTGCCCGGCTGGACGCAGGACTGTGTGGCCGTCCATCCCAGTATCCTCCACCAGAGCTCTGCTGTTTCAGGATTACAAAAGAGCCACCTGTCACACTGTCCACCCACAGCCGGGGCCAAGACATCCGCGCCTGGGGGACAGCGGCCAGCTAAGGCGGCTCTCTGTTCTCTGACTACGCCTCGCCTCCCCAGGTTGGCAGTGGAAGCCTGGTTGCCCTTTCTCCCTAGCCTGCAGCCTGGCTTCCCCCGGACTCAAGGTTAGCCTCCCCTGCGGTGGGGAGTGGAGGTGGGCACCGGGCTGTGGCTCAGGGAGCAACAAGTCAAACCTAACACCTCTATTTTTTGACGCTGATTTTCTACCCATCATGGTCCTGACATTCAGCTTGGCAAATTGCAATTAGCGATCCTCCTGCCTCCTGCTCCGAGTTCCCATGCCAACCGACCCAGGCACACACAATGACATGTGCCCAGCCCCCCAGCCACCGGCAGGAGGAGGGATGTGGGGCAGGGGGCCAGGGTGGATGCTTGTGCGCGTCTGACCCGGGAGCGAGAAGACAGTCCTGGTCCCGAGAGACCCTAGGGAAGATGGCAGGCCCAGGAGGGGTGCTGGGGCCAGATGCCTGTCCCTGTATCACCCTGTCCCTGCTGTGCCCTGTGCCCTGTGCTTGACCCCTGGCACATTTCGGTCTCTCTGAGGTTCTCCTGCGGGCCCTCCCTGGAGAGGCTTTGGCCTGCAGAATGGGATTGTGTGGGAGGAAGGGGAAGTTGAGGTACCTTTCCAGGCACATGAGGGGAGGGAGACGTGTTCGCAACAGAGAGCGTCTGGCATTATCTGAAGGGGCGGTCACAGGTTTGCGCCCAGTGGCGGCCTCTCCCCAGACACCTTCCCTTTTCCAGGGTGTGGAATGGAGAGTGCGGGGCCGTGTGGCTACCTGCCCAACCTGTCCACTCACAAAGATCCCTGAACAGTGCCCTTGGAATGCCTCTCCTCGTGTGTTCTTGTGACACTCTAAGAGGTGGCCCTGAATAGGCCTCTCATTCTAGAAAAGGAAGCTGAGCAACAGATGGGATTAAAATGACCCTGGGGTGGTACCAGGGCGACCTGCTCAGACTTGTGACTCAGGTGAAGCATTTTTGAGGCTTGTTAAGCCCCCAGAAAGGGGCAGGATTGACTGCACTGGACTGGTGGCTGGGTTTACACTGGGCATCTAGCAGTGGACCTCAGATAAGCACCCATCTACCAGGATACTGGCAAGCAGAGGGCTTTGTGAGCCAGGAGCTCTCCATGCCTACTGCTCAGATGAGGTCCAGAGGGGCAGGGACCTGTCCAGACTTACACAATAGGGTGGTGATGACAGCGGTGTTCCCTCCCCTTGCCTAGGCCCCACCTGGCTGCATCCTGCCTCCTTCCCGGGGTCTAGAAATTCCCGTGTTCAGAGCCGCTACATCAAGGTCTGGCTCTCCACAGTGAAATGTAGCCTCCTGCAGGCTTCTTGGAGCTGCCGAACTTCCTCAGCACATTCACAGTACGCTCCTTCCTCTCTTCTCCCTGGCTGGCCGACAGTACGTGAGGAGAGGCCAGGCCCCCGGGCTGGACTTCAAAGGACAGCCACGGGCACACTCTGCTTTCTTGCTTCTGTTTCTCCTTTTAGTGAAAATTGGGTTGAGCGAACGGCGGCCCTGGTCCCCCTGGGTGGCAGGGGCTGGATTGTCCCAGCTTCAAGTGGACCTGACATTTCTGTCCTGTCGCACACAGGATGCAGCACTGGGCCCGGCGCCTAGAGCAGGAGATCGACGGTGTGATGCGGATCTTCGGCGGTGTTCAGCAGCTCCGTGAGGTAAGCCTAGCGTATCTGCTTTCCCCCAGGGACCCTCTTCCAAGTGGGTGGGCAGTGGTGAAGAGCCGGCCTTGTTGAGGTCTTGGGCTGTGCTTTTCTTTCTTTTTCTTTTTCTTTCTTTCTTTCTTTCTTTCTTTCTTTCTTTCTTTCTTTCTTTCTCTCTTTCTCTCTTTCTCTCTTTCTCTCTTTCTCTCTTTCTCTCTTTCTCTCTTTCTCTCTTTCTCTCTTTCTCTCTTTCTCTCTTTCTTTCTTTCTGGCTTTTTGAGACAGGGTCTTGCTACGCAGTTCAGGCTGGCCTGGAGCTCACTTTGTAGCCCAGGCTGGTCTCGAACTCTCAGCCATCCTCCTGCCTCAGCCTCCCGAGTGCTGGGATTACAGGCATGCGCCACCACGCCCGGCAGGTCTGTGCTTTTCAAGGGAGCTGTTGGAGCTGTGACCCTCTGGCACTGATGACCCCTGCCACTGGGAGGGAGTTGGTGCTCTCCAGGTTCCCCTCCGGGTGCGCTCTGTGTTTGAGGTGGCACCTGAGGTGGGAGCCCTAGGAAGAGGCCAGTGGCTGCAGGGTGTGGGAAAGCCCAAGGGACTAACCCCAAAGTGACAGGATGGCCAGGCCAAGCAAGCCTGGGGTACAAGCCTGGGAGCCAGTGCTCGTGGGCTGTGCGGGGTGGCAAGCTGCATTCTGCCTTGGGAAGAGGGAGCAGGGTGCAGGCGGGGTGATTGATGAGACGCCGGCAAGCACATTCATCCTGGGAGATTATGTTAATGTTTGAAATAGTGCTGTGAAGAGCGAGCTATCCGTCACCCCCAGAAGGCTGTGAAATGTGTCCCTGTCAGGCCACAGGCTCCTGAACTGTTGCTCCTCGTGGAAATGCGGAGGCTCAGAGATCGGCGCTCTTGGAGCGCCGGGGGTGGGGCTCCTGGGGATCTCTTAGCTGGAGTATGGGCCTGGAGGTCTTGGCCAGGACTGAGTAGGGGTTAGTGGGGGTCCCCTGCTGATAGTTGGCTGGAACAACAGAAACGATGAGATACTGTGGGGATTCTGTTGAGAGTCCAGGCCCTGGGTTCCGTGATTTCTGTGTTTCTGTCCTCCCTCTTGGTCAGGGCTGGGGTCAGCAGACGTAACTTCGGAGGGGGCGGGGGCCGTGGGAGTCATCATCGGTCTTTCCCCATACTTAGCTTCTAGGTGCCCGCAGTGTGGGGGTGGCAGTGTGTTCACGTTGCTTGTGGTTGTAGGACCCCGGAACAAATGGAGCTCGTTGGAGGTGACTGATGAGTGGGTAACACGTCTAGGTCTGGAGGGCTGAACCACCCCCTGCTTGCTGGCCTTCCTGCCATGGTCCAGGGTCTCTGAACCTCCCTTTCCTGGTTGCTGGGCTCGAATTGCTGTAGTTGCATCCCACTCCTTCTGTGAACTCTCAGTGACTCAGCTGTGCTTGGAAGCTAGCAGCCTCCAGAGAAAGCACGGTAGGAAATACTGTTCCAGAACAGGAGTCAATTCAGGCTCAGGAATGGCGCTCAGCACTAACCAGGCTCTTAAGTGGGCACTGCCAAGTACAGCGCATAGGTTCATGAAGGAACGGCAGCTCCTGAAACGAACGGTGTCCGCCTTTCCAGAGACACTGTTTTGTACGCAGACATCGGATATAGCAGTTAAGACTCTTCCGTGCCTTGAATCCTCAGCTCTGGGACGTTGTTTGTTTTATGCTTGGGAGTAACTCAGACCCTGAACATTCGCCTGTGAGAAAGCGACATGCACACTTTATGCCTGGACTTGGGTCTGTCAGTTCCCTGGGTGGTAAGGACCAAGGTGGAGTCCGTGTTCAGTGGACCTGTCTTGTTCCACCAGGCAAGACCATGACTTCCTCTGATCCTCCTTTTTGACCCATAGCATGGCTGGTGAGTCTGATGGGAAAATGCAGTGGATTTGAATTTCTCTTGTTAATCATTTTCACCCCTAGGACGTGCTCCCTTCCTTTCAGGTGGGACCTGAGTGATTTCAGGCCATTTATCCCCGTGTCTTCCCTCAGCCTCACTGCCCCACAGTGACAGAGCTGTCACACAGCCGGCTTGTGGCAGAATCCCTGGGGCTTGGGCCCGGGCTCCTGACTCCTGCTGCTGGGTGCTGCCCCTCCTCTGGCCGCGTTTCCCCCGTTGGGAGGGTGAACGGAGCTGGGCAGGAGCAGGGCTGTGCCTGGTGTGGCGGGCAGGGAAGTGCTGACCAGGCGCCCGCTCCTCCTGGCAGCCCCACCGCTGCCCAAGGCTGCCAGCTCTCCAGCAGCTCCGTCCTGCTCCAGTTTTCCGCACCTGCTTCCTCAGCCTTACTTCCTGCTAAGGGCTCCGGGGCTACTTCTAGGCCCAGGGCACTCTAGAGGGGTGCATAGGAGAGGCGGCAGTGGGGTTAGTGTAGAGTTCTGCAGGGAGAGGGCAGACCTGGGGGAGCAGGAGGGAGCGGCAGGGGGCCGCTCTCCCGTGGGCCGCACCCATGTTTCCAGGTCAGGAGGATGCTTGGAGCAGAGCACTGACTGAGCTGCCAGTGCTGCCAGGGACCCGGCACTGCCAGGGCTGACAGCCTTGGTCTCCGCCAGAGCTCCTGCCCCACAGGCCGCCCTGCGCTGATGCTGAGCTGTCCCCGAGCACCTGCAGCTGGGATGGTCGTGGTGTCACAGCCCCTCCACGGCTGCTCTCCCTGCCTGCCCCAGTCCCAGCGGCTGCCCCGCCCCCAGTGGCTGGGAGCTTTGAGGGCTGGCAGCTGCAGGAGAGCAGAAACTGCGGACGGTGGCATTTGGGAGCATTTTCCTTGCCTTGGCATTTTCCTTCTCCTGACCTTACCGCAACCTACCGGGCACCACTGGGGTCAGCCTGTGGCCCATTTACAGGTTGGAAGCCTGGCATGCCGTGGTGGGGCCCAGGGTCTGCCCGGGGGACCTCGTCACCTTTTTCCACCTGAAAAAGCGTGAGTCCTGGTACTCACATGCTGCTGCCCTCAAACTTCACCCAGATCCGCGGGAGCCACTCCCTCCCGGGTACTTCAGCCCTACCCGCCTCTCTTACCCTCACTAGGCCGCAAAAATGTGGACCCTGAGCGGTCTCTCTCTCCAAGCCCCCAGGCCTGAGCCCCTTCTCCACCCTCCCGCACCAGCACCATATTGTCCCCATCCTGAGGGGAGAGCGGACTGCATATGCTTAGGCTCTGAGCTCATTTCCATAATGAGGCTGATCAGGACAAATAATTCATCAGGGTCCTGGGGGTGCATGAGGATGATGTGGCGATGGCATGTCTCCCCTCTGAAGCCCAGGTCACTCTGATGAGTACAGCCAGGGACCTGCCCCTCCTACCAAGGGCCTGGGGTACAAGGGGAACAACTGGAGGACCCTTGGGAAAGCAAAGCAAGGAGGGATCATCAGGCATGAGGAAGAAGTACTTGGTTCACCAGGTTTACCAGCCCTGGGATGGGTTTCTGACCTGGGAGGACACCTTCCTTGGAGCGGAGAAGACCCCGCTATGGTGGGAGTGAGGGGAGGCTGCCTAGCCGGAGCTGGCCTGGGAAAGGGAGCTGGGATGGCCATATCTGAGAGCCACAGGGTACCCTCTGGAAAGGTTCAGGGCAAGTCTGGGCCCACAGGAGCCCTTCCGTCACGTCAACCGCGGTACTCCACCTGCCAGTCAGGGCAGAAATGGCATGCTGCCTTGTGCCTGTGCCCCATGGCAGCCTTAGCCCAGCAGCAAGCTACTGGTTATTCCTGTAGCACTGTCACACAGGTGTGGAAACCAGACTGCCCTTTCCACCCATCCTGGAGCCTGCCAGGCCAGCCTTGAGTGCGGGCCGTGGGGCAGAGGTGTCGAGGCAGAGGAGCCGCCCCTGGGAAGCACCTCCCTTGGACTGCTGAGTAATCCCCACCGCTGGAGCCCAGGACTCCGCGGTCCCCAGCCCCAAGTCTTCTCCCCTTCCTCCTGCTGCGCCTCTATGGGCATCTGTGGTGTTTTAAGCCCGTTGTGCCCATGGCCTCCACCCTGCACAGGGGCACACCAGGAGTGACATTTCTGAGCCAGGGAGGTGCCATAGCACTCCCCTGACTTGTCTTCCCCTGACCATCCCTCCGCCCATCTGTTAGTGCTTCCAGGAATGTATAATTAATACTTGCAGAGTGCCCCATCTGGAGCTGGCTCCCACCGTAGGCTGGAGATCAGCCATGTCCAGGGCCCTTTTCCTGCGGGGCTCAAGGTGGCAGGACAGAGCCGCTGTGCTGGTGTCTTTGAGACAGCCCCCTCCACCCCTCTTCCCCACCCAGCACCTCTGCACACTCATACATGGTCTCCAGGTGCTGGCTGAGGCTGTGGTCTCGTGCCTACCTGGGGAGTGTGCTCTCCTGGCATTCGAGCATCCTAGGTGAGGGTTAATAGTACATGGGTGCCGGGAACCTCAGAAACACAGAGACACTAGGGTGGAAAAGGAGCAAGGATGCTGGGGCGGGGGAAGGCGCTGGGGAACAGAAGCAGTCCCGGGGCATGAGGCAGGGGAGCGCAGAGGTTGTGATCCCAAGCCCCTCAGTTGATTTTTCCATCAAAGTGCTGTGATTTTATGCGCCCCTGAAAGGCAAACAGCAGCTGCTTGGCCAGGCAGGCCCCACCCATGCAGGGCTGGCACAGGCTGCTCCTGCTGATGAACTGAGAGTCTGCTGGGGCTGGGGATGAGGCAGCCCACCCGGGCCTCTCCCCTCCCCACCCCAGGGTCTCCCAGCCTCAGGACTGTAATCCTGGGGCGCCTGCACTTGCTCCTGGCACAGCCCTGCGCTCCATGCAGCCTCCTCCTGGGCAGGCTCAGTGGTGCCCTCCTCCCTCCTGGCACAGATGATCAGGATGTGGGGTGCATCGGGTTGTGGGGGGGTCGGGTGTGAAGTGTGCCGCTGGGTAGGGATTGCTGTCACTTGCCTCCCTAAAAACCCACATATATTATTCTTTAATGGAAAGTTAATTGTCTTATTATTCCCTCCATATGGTC